AGGAGGCCCTCCTCCTTTCGTTGCCTTATGGCAAGGCTGCAAGACAACAACAAAAAACCCCCCAAAACCCCCAAAGAATCTTCTCAGACATCACATGGCTTGCTATCTGGGTGATGCCTGATTTCAGCTGGGGAATTAAAAGGACCGTATACGACCTGGTGCTTCTGTGGGAGGAAGACCTGAGGGCCTTTAGCTCCAAGAAGCAGCAAGCGACAGCCCTCCTGGTGGCACTGCTGTGATGTGGTAGGAAGAGAAGAGCCCAACAGAGCAGCACATTCGGGTGCTTTAAATTTAAACTCTGGATAAAATACAAATGCCACATTGCAGCCTAGGCGTGATGGTTCTTCAGTCAGGGAGTACATGGCTCCCATACTGCTTCTCCCACATTATTCCTTTCCTGTCCACTTTAGAGACAGAGGCTGCCTGCGTCGTCTTCTCCCCCACAGCATCTTATTTTGTTTAAATAAAGAAAAAGTTTAGTACTGACTACCAGACCAAAGATCCACGTGTCCTGTAGGTTGATGATGTGCAAAATTGCCTTGCCTGCCTTAGAGGAAGCAGCGGAGCCTCTCTGAAGAGTAGTTACAAGTTGCTCCATGAGCAACTGCCTTAAAATAATGGAAACTTTCCCCAAAAGCATCACGGGGCATTGATTCCGATTTAAGTGAGACTTTCAAGCTCCAGAGCAAAGGGGGTTCCTTGCTATTGAATCAGTGTTGGGTAAAGTGAAGACAAGTTAGTAACAGTAAAATTACCTAAAAGAACTACTGGGAAATTACCACAGACACTGGCAAATTAACAGTGAATGGACACACAGCTACGCTCTTTATTTTTCCTCTTTTTTTTCTTGGAGGGAAGGGGAATATGATGGTTTCCCAGATGAACTGCCCTCCATTTTCACAGAAAGAGGGACTGGTTCTGTCTTGCCAAGCTATGACACGTAATAAATTAAAAGAATCATTTAGCAAGACGAGCAGCCAGGCAGCCAGCTATGCAGTGAGACTAGACTAAGGTTTCACATCCTGACAGCTCTGCCTCTGGTAAGGCAGTCATTCCTAGCATCAACTCCAGCCCTGCCAAAGCACAGGGTCCTGCAAGATGCTGAGCTGCTGCACAACAGTACTGTAACTATTTTGTGACAAAAAATCATCAAATTAATACAAACTTAAGCAAGTTCCAAAAAGGAGAGAATAAACCCCAAAAACAATCTTCAAAAAATATAATGGAATCTTCAAGCATTTCTACAATTGTGGAGTGCCAAGATTATACAAGAAAACTCTTTTTTGTAAATTCTTTTTCTTCCCCAAGATTTTGTTTCTTTTTCTTTTAACACTTCCCTCCCACAGTCTCCTTGGGCACATTATACTTACGGGTCATTTGACTTGGGTATCAAAGTGCCTAGTTCTTTTATGCGATCATTAATATTAAATCTTCTTCTTCGTTCAACTTTAGGAAAAACAGCACAAATGTTACAAGTAATATTCACACTTAATTACAACATATAAACTGTTTCATCAAAGATTTCTTTAAGCTCCTTTGAAATGTTCGCCTGAAGCTTGAAATCCAGTGAGAGAGTAATTTATTTTGCTCTCCTATGCACGGACACAGTAAGAAAGTTCTGTCTATACTGTAAAAGTGTGGGACTGCTGAAGTGGCAGAGTTAAACTGAGACTCTAAAAAACAGGATGGCTGTGTTAGCACAGGACTCAACTGAGAAGTGAATGTTTTCCGAGAGAAAAGCATCACAGACAAATTCAGAGACAAAAATTTAGATGCTCAAGGAAATCCCAAAGCAGGAGAAGGGACAAAGTATATAGTCTCTTTGTTAAAGTACTCTTCCAGATGTAACATTTTGAGGATCCAGAAGTCAAATACCAATTTTCCTGCATTAGCTTTCCATGCTACGGAAAAGGCTTCTGAATAGCTCAAGGCATGAAACAGTTCCTTTTTTCTAGTAATATAAAGTATAAAAGGACAACTTAATGATCCTTTAAGTCATAAGATGCTTATTATTTTTAAATGGTTTTTTTTTCCAACTTGGAAATATGCATTCCTTTCAAAAATAGAATTTATAAAATTGCCACATTGAGGACGCACACTGATGTTTCAAGTCACAAACTGACCACATATCTAAGATATTAGATTAATTTAAAAAAAAAAAAAAAAAAAAAAAGGCAAAGTTGTGCAAGGTGGATTTGTGAAAAGCAACTGGATCAAATGTTGTTCCCAGTAATTCAGTTGATAACAACCACCCATTCACTTGGCTTATTAGAAAAAAAAAATAAAAATAGAGTTTAAAATTCAGTAGTAGATTTAAGCACACATTTCACAAGAATTCGAGATATTTGATCTATGGGCATAACATAATGAACTGGTGCTACATACGACATGCAGTGTCTCATTCAGATTTAAACCACCAGCATTCAAACACTTAATGCCTAAAATCATTACTAGAATTGGTGCAAAAAGGCGAAAACCCAAAACTTACTTAAGTTGTGATTGTCTTTCTTTTGCCTCTCCTTAGCCAGCGCTCTCGCTTCTGACTCTGTAGGAAAAATACATGCTGTGCATGTGAATGAAGTAATTAGAATTAAAGTAATTCAAACACGCCGTTGCAGTCTGTGAAATATTTGTGCAGGAAGCCTGATCGATATTTGTCAAACCAATTATTACACCCATTCCAACGAGTGCAAAGGGCCTGTACAGTAAGCTGTGACTGCCAAAACACAGCACTGGTGTTGAACTTCACCCCTGCACCTGCGGAGCATCTCTTCCCACACTTCCCATACTGACTTCCATGACGAGAACCTTTCCCACGGAGGCCCTGATCCAGCAAGGTATTTGAGGACAACAAACTGCTGAAATCCAACATACCTTCCATCTACGTTTACATACAGCCAGCACGCTTACGTACCACGCAGAAGCTGAACCAGAGGAACAGCATGCTTATTGCATTGCTACGTGCACAGGATGTGAAGCAGTCAGGAGTCAGAGGCTCTACTCACCGGAATTAAGGCTACGTCCTTTTGTGGCACGTGCATGCACATCACCGTAAGACTCAACGCATAACTTAAGCGACCTATTAAAAATACTGTATTTTCCACTACACTAACTGTTCTCATTATATGAAAAAAAGATGAAAAATTCAACACCTTTAGTAGCAATGTTGTTAGAAAACAATGGTCCTTGCTTCAGGAAAAGCAAAAAGAAAAATAATGACAACCATGCTGCACATCAGTTGTCTCCTCAACTCAGAACTGTTCTTAACCTTGCTCCACACATTCGTTATTGGACTTCAGCACGCAATAGTTAAGGCAAAAGCATAATTAAATCTGTTATTTTCAGTTCTCATTTGATCTTACATTTCTCAAGCCATTTTAATTATTTTTTGTTTGCTCTATCCCTTTTAGTTTTTAAAAAGGGTGAGGTCATTAATCCTTGCCCTGTTGCATTTAAATCTCAAAACCAGCAAGCATTATTTAGTATTGCAGTCAGTCAGTGAGGACAAGTGAACATGGGATCTATTATCACACAGTCCATTATGGAAACAAACCCCCTCACTCATTCCAACAAGTTTCTTTCCTGTATTCTTTTATTTTTATGGAATATGGATTATGTCCCACCCAATTCAAAGTAACAGGTGATAAGGGTTTCCTTTGGAGTACTGGAAGTTGACTACTTCGCTACTTAGAACACAGAGCTACCCCAATATTACGTGCCGTATAACAAGACATCTTCTTCTACGCTAGGCTCCCAAAGGATCCCCAAAAAAGCTTGAAAGGCTATTGCATGTCTCAATGAAATTTGGGCTCAATCTGACATTGCCCTATGAAACAGATATGAGGTTTGTAAGGCCAAAACTGATGGAAACTGCACTCCTGGGTGAGCAGGATTCCCATTAAATGCTTCAGTAACTACAGCTGAGAACTCACAACCATCATCAACATCAGATGCTGGGATAATAGATTTGACTTCTCTTGGTTCTTCGTAATTTTGATGTTTATACAGTAGGATGGAGAAAGATTTCTGACAAATGCTAGATTTAAATATTGCAAGCTCTTCCCAGCCCAGTTCCAAGAGCAAAATCAGGAAATGGAGAACCAAAAGACTCCTGCCTGCAGTAACACGCTGATTTTAAATCACTGGCTGTCAGAAAGCACCGTCAATAGTGCTTTCTGCACAAAGGCTTGGCCAGATCAATGTCAAAGTGACTGCTGTTAAATTTAAGTCCTAAACCTCTCCTAAATTAAATGCCATCTGCTAGCATATATTTTGAACAGAAAAAGCACTTAACTAAATTATTTCTGTGGACAGGTGAGTGTAGCATATAGACATTTAACTTAGTTCAGATCTATTTTGATGTACTGAGGACTTCCATAAGACCACTTCGCTCACTAATTTCCCCTCTTTTTCTTCCTTCTTTGCCTGAAGTCTTACACAACGGTCTGCAGTAAATCCACCAGCCTGGACATCTGACAAGTTGGATGTTTAGTTTGCAGTCTACAGCCACCTTTAACTTTCTATAATTCAGGCAATGAAACTGTCTGTAATGCAGAACTTTGAGTAGTTCTCATCCCCTCCCACCCTCCTCTTAACATAGTTTCATTGCTATACAAGCTTTTCTTTTTCCAGCGGCCACAAATCATTGTGCAGTTTGCGCGTCTTCATTTGGTGCTGAACTCAAATTTTGTGCAGTCATATAAATGCAAATATCCGCCAGCTCAGAGATGTGTCATTTCCTCCCGAGAAGCTGACTCCTGGGTTATTAAAACTGCTCTACTTAAACTAATTCCTGCACAGAACCTGCTTGGCAACTGAGTCAGCCTGTGAGTTTTCACAACAGAAACCCAGAAAGACGACAGACAAGAAAGAAACTATGCCTCTACCATACAGCATACAGTATGACTCTCTGTTGGGCTTAAGAACAGCCATTTCTGGGTATTAAGATGGTTCTGTCATTGGTTCTAGAATGGATCTCCATTTGTTCCTCCTGCAGACAAGCTTGCGTCATATACTGTACCCTACATGTGGTTATATCCTTTCAAGTGAAGCAGAACAACAAAAATAAAACATGCTTGAGAAGACAAAACTTCTTATTTCTTCCTTCAAACTATTTAGCTTCTGTACACCTGTGCTTGAAAGAAAGAGGTTTTTGATGTCCCCCTTCCCTCCCCGTGCCTCCCACAGCTTATTCAGAGCACTGCTGGAAGAACAGACATGACAAGAAATTTACAGGATACTTCATTTTCATCTTAAATTAAGAGATGCATATTCTCTCTCGAGTGCCTAATTTTACATTTCATTGGATCTAGGTGTCCAGATTTCATACTACAACAGGCTATTCATTACTGCCCTCCCCTACTAGAGTAAAGCCTCGACATGTAGCATTCCTCAACATGAATCCCACGGAGACTCCAGATGCGAAGTTGTTCAAGTTTGGTGTTGACAGAGCAAACAATAAGCCCAAACTAGAAGACAGCTCTTCAAGAGATGCATGGAAGCTTCTTGTGACACGACGTTTTCAATGTGCAGATTTCACTATAACATCTAGGGACTTTATCTTAATTTGTCACGGTGAACACACACATGCCCACACATGAACACAACTGCATGGCAGGCTAACACGTCTGCTAAAAAATGGTCCGCAAAGCAAAAAGTAACTATTCATCCATATATTCTTTCTCATAACAGAAATTATGTCCAATATCACGAATTCAAAAGAATTATACTACTGCTCCAAGGTGGTATTATAGACATATTTACCTGTGAGCTCCCTTTTTATATTAGGAAGATTAGCTGGACATGAGTTGCTGATGTTTAGTCCTGGAGGAGGCATGCTTTGGTTGCCATAAAGGTCAATCAAATTGCCAGACACAGGTAACTGGAAAAGATAAACAAGGAAAAGGATCATTTGTTTTGCCCTTACGAAAGGCTTTGTGCAGAAGAACAGAGTTAGGATCTGCTAAGAAATCTGTGCTCTTTTCCATGTGCAAACAGAGCGTGCAATCAGGTCAGCAAAAGTCACAGATATGCACAGGCATAAGGAATAAAACACCTACATTGGGAAAATTCTGTCTTCTCCCCTCAAGAATATGCAGACAGAGAATACGAAGAAGATGTAACGTGCTGACAATATTGCTGTATTGTTGCTCCTTATTTTTCCGTGAAACTATTGTCTGTACCCCCACCACTTCTCTTACTTAAAAAACCTGAAAGAACCTACAGAACACTCCTGGAAGAAGCCCCCATTTTTCCAGGAATATGTGAGTGCAAGTACTTAGCAAGTTGTCACATGCTTGCGGGAGAACACTGTATTAATCGATCACATTTTTCATGTGATTTGAAAGCTACCTACACAGAAAACATTTAAGTTTACTTTAACTTATGTAACGAGAACACGCACCAGTAGGAGGAAGATTATTTTGACACTAAGTTTCCTCAATTACTTGTTCATTCTGCTATTCTTATTTAAGTATGTTTAAGCAAGGAGATTTACACAGAAATAGCATAGTAGTCCAACAAGACTTACCAAAGCTATCCCTTTACCAAAGCTTATCAAAGCTATCCCTTTAAATTGAAATGTATTTAAAGTTTATCCTGAGTGGATTATTTTACCCACCTCTTTTTTGTTTTCAAACTAGGTTTTGAAAAGACAGGTATAACACACTTTGATGTCTTATCTGAGTAGCAATACTTCTTATCATGTCACTGCAAAGAAAACCAATCCCTCCAAGACATGGATCCTGCAGAGATTAGAGTATTAACTTTACACCCATTTAAATGTTGCTGTTGAATACAATGGAGTGAGTCACAGCCTGGACTATTAAATTCCTACTGATGGTCCCTGCCAGACTGAGAACTAAGAAAATTTCTCTGCCCTCTGGAGCTACAATAAGAAGCAAAAGTTGATGTACATCCATTAAAGTGACACCAGCTAGAAGCCATGCTGATACTTGTCTTGAACAGACAGTGGCCAACAACAAAAATTAAGCCCCCTGACTCAATCTTTAAGTGACGGAGGAAAAATGTAACTGAATTCTCACCAAGATCCAGCCTTACAATTCCTTGCCCTCCGCTTAGCTCTTGAATGCAATATAAAAAAAAGAAATTAAAGAAAAGGAACATTATAATAATCTAAGGTCACAGCTGTCCATCACAGACTATGGTCCAAGTTGGGACATATCTGCATTGACGTCAGGGTGACCACTCTCTCTCACTGCTCTACAAGGCTGACCCTTGTATCTTTTAGCCCTTCAAATGCATCCATGACACAGGCACAGCAATAGTGTCATACGCCCTTCTGACTTGGATGTGCTTTTTCTATTCACGCTCCTAAGGGTGGAGAGAGCACAAAGAACTTGTTTGTAGCCCAGAGACTTGAAGTTCAGAACCAAATATGTGAAATCTAATTAGGAATTTAAAAAAAAAAAAAAATATCCCCCCCTTCTAGAAATTAGCATCTCAAAGCCTGGGTAAAGCAGCTAGGTTATAATTAAACATGGAGAACAGTCAAGGTCACCAAGCTGCTTTACTTATGGCAAGGTGGACCCTGCTTGTTACAACAGGTTTGTGATTATTATTTCCGCCCCCCCCCTCAAAGGTGTCAACACTCTGCCAGATTTCCATGGAAATAAACAGGACCCGTGCAAGCAATCACCGCAAAAGGGGAATGTAACGCAGGCAGCAGCTGCTGAATGCGCATGCTGAAGTCCTGCAGAAATTACAAGCACCAGAGAAACCATACCAAGAGCTGTGCAACAACCAAAGCACAAGCACTGCTGATGCAGCATTAGCTAAATAAAGGAAGATGAAGAGATTTGCACAGCTGATAAACATTGCAGGTTTGCATGTACACATGAATGCTTATCAAGGAAATTTACATTAGAGGTTGGTGACAACAATCGCAGTTTAAATCAGTGATCCATAAGCAAAGAGACTGATCAGCTTCTTTCTTTGACTACTTTTCTCAGCAAGCTGAACTCCACGGGTCAAAGCTTCAGTTCTAACTTTTTACTACAAGTGTGACTATGTGTATGGTCTACACTCAGTATGAGGCTCTGAGAGGCCTCTTCTCCATGATGGCTGCACGTCACATCTTTGAGGCTAACTTTATACAACCCCTTTCACCTGAAAAATATAAAGTGCCTACATCACTTCAGCTCATCTCACATGGCTAAAATACCTGCAGTTAAAGATAAGTTAAAACTGAGGCACATCCTCTGTTCCCAATTCTATTCCAGGTCCAAGAGGAATAAAAATTAGTTGACTTTTAAGGTAAGACCAACAGTTATTAGTGTAGAGTTCAGGGAACTGGAAGGGGGAGAGGATGCCTATGCTGAGGGCATTGGTTTGAGATGGACAAGTTAGCAGCGCTGTGAGCACACAAAAGCAATCACTAGGCTGAAATGGGGGGCAAAAAGAAAAAAAAAACCCAACCCAAAAACCAAAACCAACGCAGAAAAGGCTTATAATGGACTCAATGCAGGAACACCTGGCATTTATTTCAAATACCTCCTATTGGAAGAAATTGGAAAAGAATTAAACATTGTTTGCAACCATTTCAGCTCTAATCTATTAAGACGGTTGAGCCTTTCATCCTTTTACCCAAGTACAAAGCAATGGGAAAATGTTCAAAACTCCCACAGCTGTTTCATTGGGAAGATGCGAGTCTCAAAACTGAGAAATATATGGAATTTGATGTCCTTTTTCTGGTGCTAAGGCGGCTCCTTCCCTGCCTTCGCCGAACTCGAGCATCCTTCCAACTTAAATATGCTTCCCCTTAAGGCTTTGTTAGCCACTTCTGGCCAAGAAGAAATTTAAATACAGCATCATTCAGATCATCCACCTTTACGCTCCCAAAAAGTAAATGAAGGAAGAGCCTGGCTTATGCCACGCTTAGCTTGTTATTTTCATTGAAACAGCATGGTCTAAAAAGCCTTCATTTATGAGATTTTGTATTTCTAGGCCTTGGCTTCACATGGTGCGCAAATTACTGCTTTTATATAACAGAAATTTCAAATACGGTAATTCCTACTGCAGACTCATCACAGCGTACGTTCAGGGGAGTCTGAGGCTTTCCTTTCTCCTGCACTGCGCCAACAAAACAAGCACCCACATTCAGGTCATTCGGGCTCTATAAAAATCATTGAGACATCAGCTGTGTGATCAACAAGGCTGTTTCTAAGGAATCAGTACACACTGGGAGGGATTCTGTTCCCCAGCTCGTGCAGCCTACAAGGTATTGTGTTCTTCCCTTACCTACAAGCACACACTCAGTGACAGTCCCTGAAATAAGACTCCGCTCTACTTCTGGAGTTTAACGTCCACAGGAAAGTCACATTTACAAGTGGAGCTGCACATACTCACATGACTTTCCGTGTCAGACTCTTGCTAGAAGTTGATTAGTTGGATGAATTAGTTGTCATTTCAACTTGGCATACAAGTCTACTTTACACAGTACCTAGCAATTCAATTACTAGGTCATGTCTACGCAGAAAACTCTCTCGGCAAACTAGTGACTGTTTTGTGATACCTTTCACCACAGAAGCAAAGCCAGTTAACTTGGGACCCAATACCAAAGTTTACAAACACTTCCACAAGCAGTTGATTGCAATGAGCCCTTTACAATTAAGGGGTACTTGGAAACTTCCCTTAGGTTGCTCTACACAGAAATCTCTGATTTTGCTTATCAGTTAAGTACTGTTACCAAAAGTGACTAGCTGGTCCTTTTATTCTTTGTTGGTTATGGAACAATAGCGGCCTTTGTCGTAGTCTCAGCACAGCTATTTATAGGTTGTGTCTCTTTAGAGATCATTTCCTCTCTTGATTTCTTCCACCTCTACTTAGCTCAGTCTACAGGCATTAATTCCTTATTAGTAAAACGTTGTGCGCTTTAAGAGCTAAATCCCATTCCAAAAGAAACCTGTTACATCAGGTTCTGTTTTGTTTTGGTTTTTTTTTCCCCCCAAACCCATTGTTGGGAAACATGGTTCAATTTCCATCTCTTCAGGATCGGTATCAGGTTAATTCAGAGACTGAAATATGCTTTTTGCCTTCAGCAATTTAACTCTATTACTAAAGAAGTCTTAATTCTACTATTCCATATGCTTATTTTACAGGCTTCACCACATACAGTGGGCAATTTATGAAATTTCACAACAAATGTGGAGCAGGCAGCCTTTACAAGGTTTGTCATCATGCAGAAAGCAGGAGAGATGCAGACTACCCTAAATATTGACTACATGGACTCCTTCCACCGAAAGAGTGCAGAGTACCGTTATGTCCTTGCCTGGAAGCAAAGAGCCACTGCTGGGGTCCCTGTGAAATGAGAGAGGAAGAAAAGCACAAAGAAATCCAAGTCCCCTCTAATTTAACGGGTCCCAATCCAATGGAACTTCAGAGAAAGGACTCCAGAAGAACCTGAACTCTCAAAAAAAAAAAAAAAAGTAACTATTTTGAAAACTATCATTTCACAGGTTTTCAAGTTTTGCTCTGAAATTCCAGGACAGATGCACTTTTCAAGTCATCTTATATTGAAGGAAAATTCATTCTTTCCAGTAGGACTCTGCAGTTACTTCTCTGTCTACTCAAAGGCCACTCCTTAGCGAGGGACGCTGGTGGGCCGTTTCCTGCGGCATGCACCATGTCTCCAAGAGGGCTGTGGGAATCTTCGGGAGTGTAGGACTAAGTTAACATGACATCAGATGACTACTGTCAGCAAATGTAAACCTATGCTACAAAATCGATGCTATGTGGTAAGCTGTAAATTTTGGCACTAGATAAAAAAGAAACAGACGCCAGCACTGGCAGACATCTACTCAGCCAGATCTAAAAGCACTTAAGCCCAAGACAAAAAATTCACTGGAGCTACCCTCCACAAAAGATCAAAATACGATTATGCCAGAAGCATGATTATATTAATGCTCGCAACAATGTGAACCAGCAAACAGAAACAGCACCTCGGAGGTAACGTGCCTTCCCTCGCTCACCAACTTCTGCACCTCTGCGTTCTCGTCTTTTATCACAGGCTTCCTACATCCCCTTCCCCCCTTCAGTTTCTAAGCTTCTTTATTCCTTCCCCTTTTGTTTGTTTTGAAGGTTGGGGGTTTTTAATTTTTTTTTTCCCTCCCCCTAGATTTTGTAACATCTTTGCTGTCATCTAGCTGGGGACTTCTCTCCATTTGAAATCAGGTTAAGCTAAAGGTATGATGTTAGAGCTAACAGTTAAACTAGAGCAGCTTTGGATAGGAATGCTAACACATGCTTAAGCGTGGCGTACAATTTCGTACTTGAACACAAGGAGATACAGGAGCCTGGGGTGCCAGAGGTTCCTTCTAGGCTTTCTGAAGCCAAGTATAATATCCCTGGCAATCCTGAATATTGATGGGTGTGAGCTCACTCCTGTTAGCCCACTTCACTCCTCTGTTACAATCCTCTCACTGACTAACTTGACTTTGAAATAAGAAAAGCAAAATTGTCCTTTGTATTCCCTCGACCTGACTCCAGCTTGCGTTTTTAAATTCAGGTTTTGCATTGCAACTGTATACCTTAAACTCCTCAAAGAAAACCTGATTATCCTCTGTGGGACAATACAATAACTACTTAATTGCTCAGAGAAAAAGTCATACTGCAGTTTTGCATTCTCTGGAGGAAAGACAATTAGACTTAACAGGGAAACCAAATGGAAAGGACCGTTGTACCGTATTTGCCATTTGCAGGGCTGGGTCCATCAAGCCAAGGATTTCTTCATTGTAACTTGACTCCAGACTAATTATGTCATCAATCACATCATCCATCTGCAGCAGAAAAGGTGGATAAAGAAAAACAAACCAGTTATCAAACCCGCTAGGATACAGAAGCCTGACAGCACTTCAGCCGCACACCGGCTCTCTGCGGCACGGGCCCAAGCAGAGGTGCTTGGGCACTTCTGCCGCGCTCCAAATCCAATCAGCCACGACTCCCGCTATTCAGCCAGGACAGTCAGGTCGGGACAAAGCTGAGGCTTCACCGTCTAACCCACTCCTCCCACCAGCAGTTCCCCTGCACCACCTGCCCACGGACACACTGTTCCTCCCAGGAACAGCGGAGGAGATAGCTCCTGGTAGAACAAGCTACGCTAACAACATGAATCCTTCTCCCCCGTGCAGCACTGCCTGCCTGCACTGCCTCCACCTCTTTCCTCTAGTTGTGGGGTCAAAACCTGCGTACAGATGCTAACACCCGAGCCCCTGACACCGGCAGGGGAAGGAGAGGGAACAAAGGCTTGCTGCTGGGTGACAGGCTGCCCGCCCTCGACAACACAACGGAATCCTTTGGAGTCACCTCCCTCATACACCCTCCCAGGAAGCACCACCACCCAAGAGCAGCTCGGAGACGATTTTAGGTGGTGCAAGCCATCTTCTTTTTGGGGCTGGGCTGGAAGGTGCCTGCATAAGCTCCTGCATGGTCAGGAGAAACAGAGCCCTCCAAAGCACACGTGCAGGCGCTCTGAACTGTCCTGCAGGACTATTTCCTTTTTGCTCACTATAAAAAAGGAGCTTAAATGACAGTCATCTACCAAATCAATGCATAACGTTGATAGTAGAAATAGTAGTATATGGGATTTTTGTATCAGATCTAGAAAGTGTGAACAGAACGAATTACACTGACTGGAAGTGAGGGCAAGAAAGGAACTAACACTTACAGCCCATATCCAAAGTCTTGTTAGTAGACATAAAAAACCCTTTATTTTTAAAAAAATAAAATTAAAAAGAAAAAAAAAAGGGATGACTACTGAGGACAAATTGCCACAGATGGATTAAAGCCTTCTCATATAATTCTTTTAAATGCAAGTGTAATCTGCATAGAAATGTGGTCTTGGAAACTATCAGGACAAGAACACGTACATGCAGTCTTGGGAAAACTGCATTAGAAAAGATTTTCTGAAGTGAGACCTTAAAGCATGGTCAATATGTTCTTCTGCTATAGCGTTACTGTGCCAGAAAAGCACCATCCCTCTTCGGGTGTCTTAATGCACTTTTGACATCAATGCCAATAAACAACATTGTTGGTTTGTTCCTTAAATACATCTTATATTCAACTTCTTAAAGACACTACAGGGCAAGTTTATTCTTCAACATAACTTCAAAGAAACATGCTCATTAGAAAGGGGACCTGTGCTCCAACTCCTGTGTCATCCAGTACCTGCATGCATGATGCTCGTGAGTGTGTATTCAGAGCCGGGCACTCACTCTCAACCCTGCTTTGCTCTTCAAATTTATAAAATCCCTGCAGAAATAAAAAGGAAAAAAAAAGAAGAAAAAAAAAAAGAAAAAGAAAAAGCAAAGCATGGATCTGAGTTCATGGCACAGTCTCAGTCCCAAAAAGAGCACAATTGAAACAGTGTCATGCACACATGTGCCTGATGACACAGCAAAGTGAAGCTGTAAATATCTTGACAGAAAAAAAAAAAAAAAAGATTTGGGTACAACTGGGATGATAGGATGGAACTATTTGATTTTCATTTCTTTTGAAGCTATGGAGCACAAGTAATTTCTCTGGCATGTGCAAAATATGTTCTGTAATAACTGTTTCTCAAAATTGCATAATGTTTTCCTCACAGAGTGCATCTGTATTAAAAACCTGGCATAAAGGCTAGAGGGGGGAGGATGGGGGGACACGAGGAGATCCACAATTGTCTCCCATTTGTCACGTTACAAAAATATTGGCATGATTCTTACACTTGTTAATATCTTTCAAATAATTTTCCTTTGGCACCTGAGCACACATGTAACATCCAGCTAAGTTTTGGCCAGTAAAGATTAAGACAAGGTTGCGAAGGACTTCTAGGCATAAGCTAGTGAAGTCTTGTATTTGCAGCACTGAGCTCATGGTGAAACAGTAATCAGTAACATTTTAGGGTATATTAGCTGGGACAATCTGACCTTCCAGCAAGAGACTTGCTCAAATTTTACTGTAAAAATACCTAAAATACCTCAAAAAAACCTTGTGTTTTTCAGTTATTTTTGCTATGCTCTTTGTTCTTTCTACATGAATGAGCCATAAATAACATTATTCCAGAAAGCTACAGCTTACAAAACTGCTTTGTATTCTCCAAAGGTCAATTATTCACTGTGTGCATCAAGTGGGGGCGGGGGGAGTGGGGGGTGGGGTGGAGTTTAATAAGCATAAACTAACTAAAATAGTTCAAAAAAGAGGAAGTTAGAGGGACACAGTCTTTTTGCCAAAATGTTCTATGCAAATATATATTAATCAGGCAGACAGTGGTAGTAGTTGCATTTTCAAAGTGAACAGTTCAGAAAACAAGATAAACATAACATCTTAACAATGAGCAAATACGGTTTAAAACAGAAAGAAAGCAGACTGCAATTCCATTTTACTGAAGAATACGCACAGCGAGAGTGTATTACCTCTTTCTCACAGTTGGAGTTAAGGGTGAGCATAGCCATTGGACTGTTGGGCGCGCTGCTCCCCGTTCCAGGCGGCATGACATGATCACCGGGCTGGTTTGGACATGGCAAGCTCAGGGCTTGGTTGGCATGTTTATTTGCTAGAGTGGTAGAGAGGTACTGCTTTACCTGCTGCCGCTGGGCTTGCTGAATATGGTACTTGGTTGGATTCTCAAGGTGAGTCTGCACCTGTATGACACAATTTAAAGAGTGCTTTATTGTTTTACAACATCATTATACGTGCCATCGATTTGAGCTATAGATTTGTGACATATATACCAGCTAAGCATTTGCCTTAACGTACAAACCTGTGCAGCTCCAAGGAAGTCAACAGCGTTTCACTAATTCACATTCGGTGGCAAGAAATCAGTTTATGAGCGAGTGTCTCAATAACTGACTTATTAATGGTAAACCAAGACATTCCACTTATTTTTCTACAACATGAGATTTCTCACTTAAGACCAGCGCTTGGGTTTTCCAGTTTATACAGATATGTCAGAACAGACGGTTCTCCATTCAGACCTTCAGCAATGCAACATTTAGTTTTCACTAAAATACGAAGAAATAAGTTGCGCTGCAGGTTTCATTTTACTTGTTAGCAGCTACCAATTAAAACCAAACAGTATGGATTGCTATCCTTTAGCAGATGTCAAGTAACAGAGATCAAAAGGTTTGTTGTTGGGTTTTTAGGAGTATTTTTGGTTGTTTTTTTTTTTAAAAAAAAAAACACATTGGTTAAAAAAAGGAATACACCATTTTTTTGCCTACCAATTATTTCTATCTCAGATATATGGCCTAAATCATATACAAATAAGACAGCCTGTTTATAAACACATTATGCAAACAAGATGCAAGAAAAGAAGTGTTTCAGTTCAGATCAATCACTGTCCCCAGCAACAGCTATTTTTGTATTTAAGATAAGCTTTTCAAAACTTTTTTTTTAAATATACAAAATATGAAAAACCTCATACCGAACTATTTTCACGCACCCTAAATAAGCAAGAGAAAAAAGGCAGGGTTTTTTTCCACGCAAAATTTTCACCATATCCTAGAAACTCTTTGTTGCCTTTCTTTGGTCATTAATGTTTTTATCGGAAGGTAGAAAACAAACCAAACTATAATAATACTGAGAAGTTTTTTTGTTTTAAAACATAGAATCATAGAATTGTTTAGGTTGGAAAAGACCTTTAAGATCACCCAGTCCAACCATTAACCTAACACTACCAAGTCCACCAATAAACCAACAGTTCCATTAATGCGACTTTTGCTGTTACAAGTGACCATGTACGTTCCCCACTTATTTTTGTGGGAGAAATTAAATAAAGCATACTAGATACCAGAGAAGGATTTCCTGTATAACATAAGCCTTCTTAGCAACAGGTTTTAAAATAAGTCTGCAATAACAACTCACCTGATACTGATTATACTCAAGCATTTCCAGCATACTACTTCTAGGTTGCGAGAGAAGCGACTGCAATATCCTTTGCTCACTACTCCAATCTGAGGGATTCACATATGGAAGCACCATAAACAAGCTACCCCAAAACAGAAGAAGAAACTTGAATGCCACTGCTTGGAGTGATAGTAAGTAACCTATGCTAATTAGCCATGCATGTAGAGAAACAAACAGTTCACACAGGGGCTCTTCATGGAAGCTATGCAAGTTTAGCCCTAAGTACTGGTATTCTTTTTTTTTTCCCCGGCTTTGACGTCATGCTGTTTCATAAACATAAAAGGACCTTTTAAGTGATGGGCTATCAAAGTCAGATTGACAGTTTGCTCAAGGCTAATTCACTATTCATCTTTCGTTCCAGTCGTACTAATAGACAATGGTATTTTTCTTTAGCAGTAAGGTTAAAAGTTTTTAAGTACAGAGCAAGAAATAACTGAACAAATGCCCTACGAGCCTAATGCGTATCCTCTGGCAGTGGGGTGCACTGGATAAACCCATGCAGCTACACAGTCCTATCTTCAGCTTCCAGGTGCAGCAGTCCACCGCACTGCCCACGCAGCCACCGATCCACCCAGGACCTGCAGCTGAACACAAAGGATTTGAAGAAAATCTCTGCTACGTCCTCAGCCTCCCTTGGTGCTTCAGACCCTGTTAGTTCTGTCCCAGCCTACAGCTGGAAGAGGCTTTCCAGTTCAGGAACGGTTGACAATGGGCTAAAGCATGTCTCAAATGCACTTACCTGCACTTGTACTCAGTCACGGTACTGTGCACAGTCCCTACACCTTCCAGAACTTACTTCTTCCTATCCAGCTCCTTGACAAAAGTTTATACTCAAGCACAGCCAGCAAAAGCTGCTCAACTTGCACTATTTTCCAAAGTCTCTGCTGCACAGGGAAGCATGCTTAAGATAGCATTTCTAGAGAGTTTAATCTGATTTGTTGCACTAAATCACAAGACAACACAATACAGAAGCCTGCTGTGATAAGTATGGCACTTGCTTTGTCAGTCCCAAACTGCGTTATCGATTTTCCTATCACTGGTGGTAAGAGTTACGCTATCCAGATAAGTCTGTTTTTCACTTAAATTTTCATCTTCCGAGTAGATAAAGATATCGGTAAATGAGTTATTTTCGTAACACTTATCTTTGAATATGTTATTTTAAAAACAAGCCCTACTTGTCTGACGGAATTTGCACATTTCTTTTCCTCCACGGGCATCAGATACCACGGCTGTGCTCCCTCGACCCTGCCAGGGCGATGGGACGGAACAAAGCCTCTCCTCTCTGCACCCACCTCCACCCCACCCTCCATGCTCCCAGGAGAGGGACCAGCAAAATTCCAAGATCCATCTCAACTGTGCATCATCAAATATTATGTTATTTATCATATATACTAATACCCTGAACTGACTCCACTACATGTCAAGTTTAGAAACACGCTGCCTAACTGACATAGGATTTTTGTTGGCAAACCACGTACTTATTTCACAAGAACATACTTTCCCTAAGATTTTGTTGTATTATTCTACATTAGAATACTGTGTGTTATTTTGTTATTCCACAATTATTTTTTTCCTTTTTTTTTTTTAAATGGGCTGTGCTGCCCTCAGTATGTCAGGGAAGGCAAGAGAAAAAAACATTCTGAACCTTAAATAAAGGTGCTGCATTCTTTCTCAAACTTCTAAGTTGTAGATTTCTACTTAATACAGAAGTGTAACTATTCTCTGAGAATTTTAATGTTGCTGAAAAGTGCATCGTCTTTGGTACACAGCAACAATTTCAGCTGCAGTGCAGAAGCTACTGTCTGCTTTTTTGTTTTTTCCTTTTTTTTATTGGACGGGGGGGGGGCGGGGAGAGCAATCTGTCTTCCTCTGCCCACCCTTACAGTGAATGCTGCATATGTGCGTGCAGCATAACTGCAAAGGCAAATTATAATCTAGTCACTTTAATTCCTGACACACCACAGTCACTTTGGCTCACAGAAGAAGATATATCCTTCTGGAAGTATTCTGAACAGAGTTATTCAGTAGACCACGTTTTCACGTAGAGTCAACTCTTGCTACACGTGGGCAACAAGTGACTCTGAGGAAATTCATTTACTGTCAGGTGTCTGGGCTTCAAATCAGTGGCAGCAGAGAAGATGCTTTATTGCCTTTACAGGAAAAACCTACCAGAAGAACCATAGTCATTATACACTAGATATGCACAGTTCTCCAAGGATGTGTCACCTTCTTACACAAGTCCAGTAGTGAACCAAAGAACACAAAGAACGGCCTGTTCTGTCATTAAATTGCTCTGAAATGATGCAAAGAAGAGATTCAGGGACCTAACGGTTCCTTTTAATCCACAGCTGGTCAAACACGTGTTCACATTTGAATACAAGAATATACAATTATTCTCCGAATGGAGGAGAATGTGACCTAACTATTCCCACCCTGCGTGTCAGTGCAACAAGGACAGGAGATCCCACAGGATGGAAACAGCTTTACACACATTCCTTCTTGGACAGATGTACCAGTTTCAACTACCCTCGCTCTGGCCAAGTGTGAGGCCCAACAAGCTACACAGAAGGCATCTGAGAAACTTCAGTTTGATGCTTTGTGGTATCAACTTACTGCCCTCTTGAGCTGCCGTACGAGCTCCATCGTCTGGTGGGGACTACCTTTATGAACTCAGTGCTTTTTGTTGAGACTAACTCTGTCTTTGGCCTAGAACATCCTTTTCTGCAGTCTCCACATCAAAGACAGCCCAAATGTGCCTACTTGGGCAAACGTCCCAAGATGTACCAGTCACAATCAGCCTGTAGATAAACCATAAAGCAGTCTTACTTTTTGACAAAATATCACAAGCAAAGAGCTGCAGAACAAACCCCAAAACAAAATTCCACTACCCCAAATTTGAAGCCATGAACAAAAGCTTTAACTTAATTAAGATCTAATCTTGGTCCTCAGCCCCTTCTTGCCTTTGGGGTGAAGAACAATTCTCTTCCAATTTGTTCTTCCAAATTCGTGAGACAAAGTGCAAGATGGCAATTTATGGGTTTGGATACACTCCCTAAGAAATGCGTCGGAATGGGGACATGCAAGAAAAAATGGAACAACTTGAAACTGAATCCTCTGGATCTCCAACCACTTTCTGAAGTTAAAAAACTCTGAAGCACTTAATAGTTATTTTACTCACTTGTGGTCTTTCCTGTAACTACTGAATAATTTAACATGCAATTTCATCGCCAAAACTTTTGCAGATATCCAGCCTACTACTGGTTTACTCATGTTCCCACAACATTCGCTTGAACTGAAGAAAAGGTAACCAGGCCAAGCAGAAAAAACATCAGGAAAAAAACATTAAACGAATTTGAGGAGAACAAAGTCAGTTCCTGACTAGCCACAGTTGAAACACAGAAGTCGGAGCAGAACTTGTGCACCCTGAGGTCAGCGATCATGTCCTGCCTCAGGGA